GTGTAACTCGTTCTCATCCAGATCTTTCTCACGTTGCAACCAGTCATTGTTATCTTTCTCTATTTCTCCGTCCGAGACATACTCTGACTCGGTATATATATCACTTGCAGAAGAATAGGTCAGTTTATTAATCGCGGTGGCAGTATATTCCCCTAAACTTGTATCATTAACCCTTTGCTCTTCTTTCGGTAATGCAGTGGACGTGCTGTGGTTCAGGAAGGACATTTGAGCGTCTTGTTCTTGGCAGGGGTGTATGTGCCCTGCTCGCTTTGTAGTAGTAGTATGTCGTCGGCTATACTGTAGTAAACGAGTACAGGCAGTTGCCAAGAGTGCAACGGAGCGGAAGCGTAGACACATAGGGTTGTAAAATCAGGGAAACTAATATAAGGAGTAGCCGTGTTCCAGTAGAACACGCAAAATGACTATACTACAAATACCAGGTTCTCTAGTATTTGCAGCTGTAATATATCTAGTAAAGGTCAATAGCTGGAGATCAATAAATCCAAATACAAAGAAAACACTATAGAAAACAGAAGTGTAACAAGGGAACCAATATTAGACTTACCAGCTTCGTGCTATAGAAGTCTGTATAAAGAATTGTGTAAATATTAAAGCTGAAGAATAATTTGCTATTGTACCTAGTTTATTCTACAGGGGCCGAAGGCCATTTTATAGAGTACAGATTATACTAGGCTTGGGCGAGCTCTACCCACGGGTATTACAGGCTGCTTAGTCCTAACAATAGAAAGAGCCAGTCTTCTCATGTGTAACATATTCCAGATTCAAGTACCACTTATCCTATATAGGAAAGATTGGCAAAAGCTACAGTTTAGGTACTGGAGGGAATATTGGTTCCGGTGGGTCCCATAGGGAGCTGTACCCTGGGAGAAGCGGCGATCGGGCTCAGTAGCGTATTAAGTGTCGGTGTAGGACAACGGCAAAAGCGGCACCTAGGCTACCACAAAAGAGGCAGTTTATACACTGTAAGGTAGTTTAATAAAATCTCATCCGGTGTAACATGGCCGCTTTTCTGGTTGCCCCCTTCCTCTTCTGGTGTGGGCCTTGCCCATCCGGTTACCGCGGTTCTAACTGTGGGACCTGTTGCCAACCATGGTAAAGATAATTACTACTATAGGAAAGATACTCTGGCTGCTTTACTGTAATACTGCTTCGCTATCTATTCCTTACCTATACAGCTGGTAATTGGGTAACGGTTAGGTATATTCTACTTAATAGAAATATTCTGGAACAACTTGGCAGTATTTTCTTCCAGCCAATACATACTTACTCTAACAGTAGGTATAGTTTGTAGTAGATAGACTCAGCTAGGTCAGCCCTTTTGCTTACTCGATAATCTTGTGATATCTCTATTATCAGAGTAATAGTGTCTCCTTGCAGGACTGGGGTGGCAATCACCTCGCCAATACCGCTGTACTACATTCTTTGGATATATAATAGAAGTCTGGTATGCTTCCCTTATCCATTTGAGGCAAACTACACGAAACCAAGTAAAGCTGATCCTCGCTGTTTTACATTCTTCCTATAGTATTATTGCCACCTGATTATTCGTGTATTCTCAAGTGGCTCTAGTAGTTAGGATAATATTACACATAGAATTGTCACTATCTAAAGTCCACAGCCTTACAGACTATAGTATAAATAGAGATATGGCCAGCAAGAACAAAATATCTCTCCTTATACTGTAATCTATATTATCCTTTATTAAATCACTACAATACTTAACCGCCTTCTTTAACCTACAATCTATACATGACCTTCAATCAGCCATATAGTAGTATACTATACTTCTAAGGATGGATTGTATTCGGTTCTATAAGCCTCCCAATGCTCCCAAGTCCCCAAAGCTTCCTAATCCCCATCCACCCCACAGCAAAGCTACGTTACCATCAAATCAAGAAATAAATACGACAGAAAAGCCAGATCCCGAACCTATATTGACATTACTACCGGAAATACAACCTCTAAATCATCCCCTTCCAAAGAAACCACTGGTTTCATTTCCCGGTGAGAGTCTCGCCTCTTCTCTGGAAGAAGCTTCTATCTCGGGTATCAAAGAAATTGCATATAATCCGGTATCTGAGAATCGGGAGCGATCCCCCTCGAGAACAAGGTTTTTGGACAATAGCCTTTACGGAGAGAAGTCTGAGTCCCAGCAATGCTCAGGCCTACAAGGATCTACTCGCCATCAGCTATTCAGTCTACCTTCAGCAGCAGGACACCTATCTGTAAACCAAGTGTCCAGAATCCAAGGCTCTAATCTAGAGAAGGATGTCGAGGAAGGCGACAGCCCCTGCAATATGAGGTCACGGTCGTGCAGGTTAGGCGACTCTGAGAATATACTAGGTATACATTCTCAGCGTACCTTATCACATGCAGAACAAGACAGATCTCCTTCACGGGAAAACTTGATAAATCGCTACCAGGACGGTAAGCAATACCTTGCAATACAGCATTTCGGCTGTTATTAACATAACCTAATAAACTAACCTATGCAATCAGACCAAGCGAGATATCATCAGTCCTTTATGGAGGCAGCCTCTACACCTACTGAGTCTACCGCTCTGCGCTGTACCCCCAATTGTCAATATTTACCCACAGGGAAGCAACCTGGGAGCGATTATGATAACTTCTCAAGATATATACCACTCAACAAGAAGAACCAGACCCAACCTTATAAGGGGACTAGTGGACTTAAGGCACCACGTGTGGAGGTTATAGTACCACAGAGATACATATCCCCTACTTTGGAGGCAGAGGCGATTTCGTCCAGTGAAGACAACGATGACCCTGGCGATGTCGATTTCCAGAGCGAACCAAGTGCTAGCGACGAAGAACCTGTGTTACGAAGCCGCCTTCAGCGAAAACGACAGATTAGTGCGGGTTCAGATTCTCAACCCAAACGCCCTAGGACTAGAACAAGACCCTCTGTGCCTTCTAAACCTGCGGTAAGACAAAGTCCTCCAAAGATAGGGTCTGTGAGACCTGTACCGTTGGTCCATCAACCTTTATGTCAAGAGCATTACCAACAGTTTGGACCCTCATCCGCCGAGGACTCTGATTCTATTTGGTCCGAAGAGACATTAAACCTGACCGGGAAACATTACCCCGAGCGAATCACGATCAGTGGATTTCTAGAGTTATCGCCTGGACGTCTAGGTAACTCAATTATAATCAGAGGGTTTTTACCTCACCCAGCAAAAAGAAACAAACGCTCAGATATATCAAGAAGCCCAGAACTTGACAAAGTGCTCGCTGAGGTAGAGCCGGTCTTGACAGATGGTGAAGAATTTGATCACTGTAAGATGGGCAGACGTTTTTCAAAGGCTGAGGACGAACTTATTTTAATCTTAAGGGAAAATGGATACGATTGGAAATATATGGAAAGGTTCTTTACACATCGGAAACACACTGCACTGCGGAGTCGATGGACACGACAGCTACAACACGGTCAAAGAAAATAGATAGCTAAGAAAAGAGATAGCTACTGTAACAAATACCATTCTTATTCTACAACAGCGCTTACAGTAGTATACTTAGGCTCAACGTGTAGTTTTAGATATATCACGCTGCACCTCAGCAATAGTATATGATAAACTATCAAGGAGGCTGAAATCGTTGATGATTCTACTTGTGAGGTCTTAGCTACGTGACTATCTAACGAAGGCGCGCGTAGGCGCTAGGCCGGAACTGGAACCCGCGGTCAACATTATATTTTGGGCATATGACTCTGGCCGACAACTCTGATAGTGCCGGCTGGATGGGTATTCTAGACTTTTAGATGCCGACATGGTTTTCACTTCCTCATTCGCGTCTTTCAGCTCGTTATTTTTAGCTTCCAACCTGTCTCTGTGTTCTGTATTGCCTAGTTAGGAATCGGTTCAGAATTCTAGTATGATCCTAGTATAGCGTGTTTATTAGGCCATGAGCTATTGCCGAATACTAGGAACACAAGGCCTAGTACAAGTATCGACTTATTGAGAATTACAGGGTCTCCGGGGTTAACCGTCGTCTGAATTTCGGATAAGAAGTGACAGAACTAATTGCTGGTTGGAGCTCTTATTTTTCTCCCTCAGATATCTCTATACTATTGCCGAACCGCGTTCCCACCTATAAAAGTTTTATTATTATTTGTCCTCTAATGCTTCTTACGATAGCCCTACTTATATATGAGGAGGCATGCTATTGTCTTCTTTATCCTTATATGGCCAATTACGCCAGCAGATCTCCCGTTGGTCCGCCTCTGCTTGCCTAGCCATTTCTATTCGAAATTGGCGATTGCCCTCCACTGCCCTCCCAAAGTTATCCGGCCCGGTCCCACCTTCCGGATCGATACTGAGGTGTTCTCTAACCTGCGACAGGAGCTGTTCAGACTCGTTCCACTCCCGTGAATCTGCTATAGCAGCCTCCCGTTCTTCATCGCTGAACACAACCGGACAAACTGCGGAGGAAATTTTACTCCATACCGATAAGGTCGTGATGCCTACTAACGCAGCACGCAGATTAATTATGTCTGCATCCCAGGGATACCCTGTTTGGTGAATGAGATACTGCTGCATTCCGAGGTGAGGAGCTTTCAGCACATCCATGTGCTTATCATTATGTACACCCGTCGCAGCAGTGTAGTACAGGTTGGCCTCTTCCAAGCGAAATATAACTTTGGCTTGTTTCTGTTCGTCAATGCTCATCTCATCGAAATTATCGGGGAGAGATGGAACATGCAGACTTTGAGGCTGAGAGGGGTCATGCTCACAGAATGCGGGATAACCTGCTTGTATGAAGCGTGGAAATATCGCGGCATCCTGCCAATCAATGATGCTGATGATTTTGGATGATCTTGGAGCTAGTAAAATGTTACTCAGGCTCAAATCGGGGTGTCTTAGCGTCGGAGCGCTGTAAGAACCTGGTCGTGTTAAATGAGGCGCCAACTGTAGGAATTGCGAAAGTAACGAGCTGTGCTCCGAGGGATGGATATTATAGTCGGTTGGTAGAAGGAATGTCTGCCGAGGCTGAGCTTTGGCATGATGCTGAATGACAGCCATCTCTCGGCGAGCCGCGGAGGTAACACAGTCCACGGGTGAAAGCCCTACGGCAATGATCAGCCCAGGTCATATCGGTGCTTCTGTTTTAAGGGACCAAGAATAAGGGAGAAGGGAGAAAAGCTTACAAGGCCCACGGTCAATTTCTGTTTTGCTTCGTTCGCCATGCCAAAACTGCCGGGTAGAGACAGGACCAACAACAAAATCATCCATAATTGGTATCTGGGTTTCCCCGTCAAGATCCTTCTTGTAATATAAGCTTCCATATGCGGGAAAACTGAAGTCAAAAATTTTCCTCTCTATATCTGCGATTTGAGTCATGATGTCTTTCATCTCATCGGTTGTGAGAGATAACCATCGTGAAGAAAGACTCTCCCCCTCAACCCGCTCCATCAAAATATACTCTGCTCCGACAGGGTTGTCTGAAGTTATTGAATATGTAAAGACCTCCGGTACTGGCAGTTTGAGGACAGTCCTTAAAAAGTCCATCGTGGCAACCTCACTCGCGGTAGTGTAACGGGCTGGTCCGGCAATCGGGGTGGGAATTCGCGCAATCACTTCACGGCCATTTGTTGCTCGCAGAGTAAACACTTTGTTGAAACCTCCCTCTGCCAGTTTAGCGATATCAGGACAAGAGTCTTGTTGCATCACTTCGCCGGCAATGCGTTGGAGCTCCCTTGGTCGAAACTTGACATATCGTTCGTTTAAGCGGTCGGTCTCGTCGAATCTGGCTAACAATCAGTAACTGAGACCAAAAGACATAATAAACCTAACGTACATCCATCGTCGTGAGGTATTTCGAAAGAATTCCTCGTGGAGAGCCTGTGGAGTGGTAGATAAGCGGGGAACAGACATGGCAGGCTGCTCGTAACAGAACCGCGGTTTGCGGAAACAGGGTAAGGTTGATATGCTTCTAGAAATGATGAGTCTCTGACGAAATTTCACCATTTTTCAGAAATGATAAGAGAGGCGAACCATCGAGCGTCTGAAATTATGAACGGTGGTGGGTTCATCTATTTGTTGACAGCTAAAGGGAGAGCTACATTTTTATTAGAGTCGGACAGGAAATGATGAGGTCAGTCAGGGATACTGCCAAGCCCGTAGGCTCGACCGCCTTCATCCCTACAATGACTCAATACTAGTTACAGTGATCTATTATTAGAAAACTTTATTGAATTGGCATTTACTGAAGCTAGATTTACTGATTTGAAGGGCGTTTAATTTGAGTCTACAGCTGGCATGACATAAAGGGAATGAAACACTTAAAGAAGTAGGAAGCAATATGGGGAAAACAAATAGGTCACTCAACGAAGCCGAGGGGCGTGGAGTAAAGTAGTACCATGCATTTTCCACGTGTAGTCAGCCAGTACATCGTGATCAGGCCCACAACTGTTGTTGATTATTGACAAAGCTGGGTACCTAATGGAACAGGATACCTAGGAGCTTAGAGCTTTTCTGCTGCAGTTTTCAGGATTTCCTCGAACTCCTCCTTGGTGGCATCTACTGGGACCTCAAGCGTCTGGATCACTGCATGCGATCCATTCTTTTGAATCCAGTCCTTAATTGACTTTGCCTCAGCCTGCGCCGCTGCTTGCCAGTGGAAAACATTGGCTTTTCGGGTAGCGCCTGGCTTCGCATTAGGTCTGGAGTCGGGCACTTCACGGGTATGGTCGGCAAGGTCGAAATGGAACCCAATATTTTTCAAGTCCCGTTGAGAAGTCGGGAATGTAGGTTTACCAGCTCCAACGGCGGGTCGGGTAAATTTCTGGAGAGCAACGTCGATCTTTTTTGGGTTCAAGATAGCCTCGACTGCCTTCTTTCCAGACTTCTTTAACCCAGACATAGCTGATGGACTAAGCTAGTCAGCCCTGGTAAACTGAAATAAAAGAACTTCTAAACTGAACTCACCTTTGCTAGAAATTGGTATATAAAAGGGTAGAAGATTCCGTGGCAACCGAAGAAGTAACTCTTAAAAATCTAAGTCTACAGTCTATGAGGGTGAACGAGCTCTAATTTATATCCCTGGTTTCTCAACCTAATGTCGATGGAATTGGAAAAAAAGAAAGCAACATTTCACTTGGATATGCATAGACGGGTTCCAAGTGTCCTGCTTTCCTGGATTGATTGGTTATTGTTTCTCGATGAATGAATTTGGACGCAACATATAGAGTTTCAATCAGCGCGGCTAACAGGGCACTTCAAGAGGTGGAGTCACAAGTCATGAATACCACTATTGGTACGGAGTAGAGCTTTTAGATATTGACTCTTCTTATATATCTAATTACCCAGAATAGCACAGAGGTAATTTGTAGGTAAATATAATATTTATTGCAGTAAAACTTGGAATATGAATCTAATATGTGTCCAAAACACGCCGATTTCGAACGCGCTCAACCAACTGGACTTAATATTTACTTGTATAGGAAGGGGGTTTTAAAGTACACGGCACTGGAGAGAGGAAATTTCATTGTTATGCTATGTTATGCAGTATGCAATTGCCAACCAAGTAAAAAAATTAAGTACCCTCTGTACTTCACCATACGCATTTATGATTAGTGCCCCTTGGCTTGGAACTGTCTAAGCCCACTTTGACCCCACCGCGAGACCAACATGGTAAATCATGTAACGACCAGTGTAGTAGCGCTTTTTGATCTATTAATATGTGTTGAGGGACAAGTCAATTTAGAGCAAAGGAAAATAATAACCGATCTACCCGAAAACACTACAGATCACAGGTAGAGTTTTTGTAGTTTTTCTGGGCAAACTGAGACACCAGCTACATATGTTCTCACCCAATTATCGTGAGCTGATAAAAATGGGCATGTTGGTGCAATAGGGATGCTTGACATTAGCGCTAGCCGTCACTGAGCTAGTGGTGGTCGAATAGGCCCGAGTGAATAGTAGAAAACACTAAATCCATTATCCAATAGGTCTTCGGGTTTTAGGGAGTCTTACTGATCTATTATTTCGAAAAAAAAATGTTCAAATTTGAGCATTACACTTGGTACTGTGTTTTTCAAAAGGAATAATACAGATACTATCAGCAAATACCAGAGTACTAATTCAGGAGCTGCAGCCTACTCAAAAGTAGAGCGCCATATATATCCCTCAAAATGGCAATAGAAATTGTGACTGATAGACAGGGATCTTTAGTTCTAGTGTCGACCTTTCTAGGATTATACATGTCTGTCCCGCTCGGTGCTCTCGAGGCTAAGTTGCGTGATATCTGCGCGGTTGTATAGGCGCTGCATACCATAGGAGATATCAGTTATACTTCAAGGTGGCCACCTTTTTTTAGCGTGAATAGGCGTGAATAGAATTGGCCTACGGAAAGTTGAAGCTACGGGCGAGGCTGAAGCATATCGAAGCAGACATAGATTTTGAGCTCTGTAATTATTCCATTCAACATATTGGGGATTTAGCCATTACATTAAGACTGAAATAGAGCAGACAGAGCACTAACTAAGGGTTCTTTTCATTGTCGAATACTATTTCTAGGCCATAGGAACCTAATATAGAGAGCTAAATATTGTTAGTGGACACCTGCAGCCACTATCCATAAGATTTGGCTACTCGCTGATGCAACTTTCCTGCCCAAAGCATAATGGTTCATGTGACTAACCATTGTTTGAATCATTCAGTATAATCCTATCGTAGTACTAAAAGTACCGCGAAGCAGTCTTAGGCAGCCCAATCGCCTTTGCAGTCCCATGTACTTTTAACAGTCCGTGAGCGCTAAAAGTCGATGAAAATATAGTATTTTCCTGTATGCGGGGCAAGCCACGAGCCGTCTCTTCCATCAGCAGACCCACCTGCCCTTTGGCGTGTTGGCCTGCCTCGCCTCAACGCAAAATTTGAAGCTATTCAAGCTCCTATACAACATCGCCTTGAGTATCGATCCAATAAGATAGTCTAGGGCCTTTATTATCCACCTTAATATCTTCTGTACTAGGCAGATCCCCCGTATCCGCCTATTATGGTAGTTTATTGTGTCCCAAAATTCCTATTTTCCCACTCTACCTACGGCCCTGTAGTCTTTCCACCTCCGTACTCTGTAATTCGGCGTTTTGCATCAAAATACAGATAATAGCCCACTGTATCGGACCCTTCTCATTAATATGCGTCTATCTTGTGACTTCCGATGTCGAAGATATTGTTACAAATTATTTTTAAGCTGGCCGGCTAGTTCAGTGGCTCTTACCAAGCTCTGGAATACACGGGCAATGTGTTATACAAAACTTTGATTAAGTTAAGCTCTCGTATTGTAGATGGCGGTGATACGCTTGATAGTAGGGTACCTCCAGTCCGGTCTTCCTGTGCTGAGGAGAAATCAAATTGCTAGCAACTAAATCGGGCCCAGAAAAAGAAAGTCCTAAATATCGGGGTTAGGGTTCTTATGTGTGTGCTGCGTATATTAGAAGAGGCCTTGTTTACGGTAGTGGCTACAAACCAGTGCACTGAAGCGGATACCTGCGGTGGCACACTGTCCGGATGAAGGGTAAGAGGCCAATAAGACACCTTGTTTGTGGAGAAAGTGATGTCGACCCACTTGCAGTGTATATGAGCGTCTGCAGGCTAGCCAACAGGGTTGACTGCTGGGAGCTTAAACTAGAGGTCAGCGCAGGCGAATATAAGCTGCGGTGGTCCATGTCTTCAGAAAATGGACATCGGGCCTAGACGCGCAATCTTGATGCCTAAGGCTGAAATTGCGCTAATGGTATTTTAGGAACCACGTATTACTGTTGGGCATCAAAAGAAAACCCCTCCACCCCACTAGCAACCCCTCATTGCAAGTCGCGCAGCAAACACCTTAAGTTTTCCTATATCTAAGAATATCGGTTATTGGATATTTTACTTTGACTACGGATATGCAGAAAAGAAACACAAGATATCCCTTGATCTCCTGACTGCGAATGTAGGTGATAAGCGCACCATATTTTTTTCGCTGCTAATTTCCCTTTTTCCCTCTTACAGAGACCGTCGATACGTCACGTCACTAGAATCATTTTAAACCGGTTATAGCACAAAAAGCACATCATGGATGAGCTAGTGAGGTTTCTTCCAAGTGCAAAGTGGCGAGAAAGCGGCCAACACACTTCTATATGCGATGATAACGAGAACCTCAAACCCATATTAGTCAAATGCGCGTCGGAAATACCTCTTTCTTTAGAGGACTTCGGCCTACAGGTTCGGAAAACAACAGGAAATACCAGAATACTGGAAAAAGCGGCCTATATAATACCGGTGTACATTATCGAAGGCACACCTCGAATCCTAGACGGTCCCTACCTTATTCCTGGATCAGATCCCTTCTACTTTGAAAAACAGGTTATTTTATCTGGCTCTCTTTACTACATCCTCGCAAAGCCCCCCACGGCCAAACTCACCGAAAATAGCACTGCGTCTTGAAAGGGTACGACAGAGTCAGGATCATAAAAAGATGTACAAAAGGATGTATTACGTTAATGTAACTAACGCCAACCTGCTACATAATGTCATGTTGAGAGCGTTGCAAGTGTGGAATTGTTCAACGTGCTCGATCCAGATGCAGCCGGAGGATATCCAGTATGATCATTCGTATACGTTAACCCAATATTCCTGGGTCCAGCCGAAGCTGACGCTAGTGCAGGACCAGTAGTACTCTCGTCAGCACGACGGAGAAAAAGCCAGGGGTCAGCTGAAGCGATGATATCGTCTACCGAAAGGGTGGGTTCGAAAGAATTATCAGTAACATCAGCCCTACTCCTGCTACTCGGCTCCGTGGGGAGGAAGAGCCAGGGGTCGGCTGAAGCAGATATATCCTCGAAAGAAGTGAGCTCCAAACCAAGAGACGTTCCGGTGGGTGCGTCTGACGATGTTGATGTGACTGACTGGAGGTTGGCTCGTGGTTCATCGGTTCCCTGAGGATTGGGATTCACTGTTTGAGATAACGTGGTGCCTCCCTCATAGTAATTCAGGATTGCAATCCAAGCCTTGTGCAAAGTATCTCGAATCGCAAATTGGGGCAATGTTTCAGTGTATGCATTCAATGCTTCAATCTTGATATGACTCCATTTGTGAAGCTCGAACCTATAGATAATTAGTTTATAAAGGTGAAGAAGTGGGTTTCAAGAACCTTTTTGCCGCTATATGGGTCAACGATAGAATCAGTTCCTTGTGAGTCAACCTATCCCACTTCCATCCAAATAATGAGTAGCGGGAAAGCTTCTTTCTTCTCGTATCTTGATATCCCTCTGGGTCATCCCACAGCCGTGAGCAAATGTCGTCTAAAGCAAAAGTAAGAAGACTCGAGCTCCGACTGTTATGATCACGTTGTGTTTTCCGGCAACGTTTCTGCGCGGCTGGATCAGAAAGAAGCTGTTCTTGTCTCTGATGAACTTGTCGAGATAATATTAAAAGTAATACCTTACGCCTTATTGCATCAAGGTCCTCCATGCGTTCTAAATCATTGTAGCACCGTCGAATAACATCATTGTCTGGTGTTTCTCCGTCGCAAAACGAATGAGGTCTTGTAGCCCAAATTTCTGCACAAACCTTAAGGCTTCTAGTATCACTAAGAGCCCAATACTTTGTTATGGATGTGAGGGTGTCTATGTCCTTATCAGAAAGCCTCTTCCTGTCGTGCGAAATGAAGTTTGAAAACCAGGTTCGTCGCTCGGAGATCGAGGTATCCCGCTTGGGTGGCGTTTTAATTTTTTTGACGAGGGCCCGATGGAGAGATAAAAGCTGGTTTTCCGATTCCGAGATTTGTTTTAGATGATCACTAACTGCCTATATCGGGTAGGGTCAGCCAGGTAAAGGGTTGGAGAACAAGGAAATCTCACAGAATCTCCGGCTGCGCGAGTGAGGGCCTCAAGTTCCCAAATCTTGGCCGAGATGGCCAACCCCAAATTAATCGAAGATTCTTCATTGCTGGCCATAGTTAAAGATGGAAGAGTCAAGAGGTTGAACAAGGAGGAGTATAACTACACTGGAAGCGTTCAACGACTCGCTCCCGCACGCACGGACTGTCAATGTCTACCCGGGTAGACATTGACAGTCCGTGCGTGCGCTAGAGCAGTCCAGCCTTGCTGACCGAATTTGGCTTGACCAATATGGGTCCTCGGCTGGTATTTGGTTAGTGGTGGCGGTGTGATAAAAATAATAAATCTACGAAAGGAGTAAGTTACTTCGATGATCTAGGCTTACTGATGTTTATTTTCGAGCAACAGATATAGGGTGACCAGGACAGATGGGTAGTTTGTGACATCCCAAATCGAGGCCAACTCAAATTTAGTATCATTTAGTGCCTACTATGTTCTCTATGTACAGCAATACCATATTCTACTGTAAAGTTCCGTACAGAGCTCAATAACAAGGGACATGGATAAGGATAATATTGGCTAGAGCCTCTACACTAGCGTGAACGAATTTCTGCTCTAGCTCTAGTTGTATGACAAGGATGGTCTGATAGCATCTGCAGCAGTTTCAGGCTGGATAATATGCACTTTATTATCAACTGTACTGGTCTAAACAGGATCCAATTTATCAAATAAAGTCTGGAACCATTTTACACTCCCTCAGACAAACGAATCTGCACGCACCCAAGTGAACTTTTACCGGATTCTTGCACACAGTGTAAACTTGCCTTACGCGTGTCCTCTGTGCTTGGATGGATACGGTACGTATGATGCTCTCTACATCCATTTCAAGGCAACGGAAGAACCCCAATACAAAGCACTGAAAAGCCTATGGCTCAGCAGTGAGTGTATAGTTTGCAAAGAGCCCAGTGATCAGGTCTTTACAGCCCCAATCGATTTGAAAGAGACCTATCTATCCCTATCCAGATCTGGATTTCTTTATAGTAATGTCTTTCCCAATCACCTTTCTCTTCCCTGCCAAAATGGTTAAATGCCCTGTTGAATCCCACCTATCCACTAGGCAAGCTCAGTATTCATTGATCACTGTAGGCACGGTAAGTCCACTCTATGGAATTGATAACCATTGTGTTATAAAATGCCGCCCCGAGCCTTCAGTCGATTTTATCCATGCGGATGTTTGGCTGTCACATACTACTTTTGGACCGGTCGGGTCATATAAAGTTTATTGACTTTGCTGGCTCCTCGTGGCTCTTGGAAATGTATTTCGTTTTAATGGCACTTGGATATAGTCCAAGTTGTTTTCTTTCGTATGGCGAGAAGTAATCAGTACATACGCTTCATCCTCAAATGGTTACACAGCTTTGCTATGGTTGGCCTGTCTGATCAAGTAGATAGCTTTGAAGCTGTTGGATTATAATATCTATTGAATATGTATACTCCTCCACAAGTTTAATTGGTCTCCTGCATTTCTTGTATTCAGTACCAACATGAGCCGATGCCATATGGTGCAGCTGTAAGCTGTCTAGTGGAAATCCGGTATGCTATCTTCCTTTCTAGGCTACCTAAACTGTACGCAATTTACTATTCTTATTGCCTACTTTCAGCAATGGTTATTTAATCCTTAGGCAATTAAACCAACTAAATATTCGATGTTCGGAATGCTATTAATAAAAAAGACCAATAGTAGTGAGGCCGCTTGTTAGGATTTACGAAGAATAGAACAAGGTATGTTTAGAGTCCTACTTCTCCCATATAATTATGCCATATGTATGAACGTGACGTATGCTGGCTCCTAGATTTATGATCTATCATAGTATGTATATCTCTCTGTATAGTATTGAATTATTATATTTATAAGGCCAACGATCATTTCCTGTATATCATTTCATGGAACAAATTAGCCCGGCTCCAAGAGTATACTGGTACTCTGTGTCTTAAATCCTTATTAGTCTTTTTCATTACAGTATGGCCTGCCTCAACATGTCTAGGCATGCAAAGATGCCGTTGTGGTTCAAGCAATTCTGGTCCGATCGACGCCGCTCGGTCGATTTAACGGACTGGAACGATGGAGGACAGGATATGAACAGCCATTCCGGAGATGCTGCTATTGGTTATGATCAACTGCAGAGTAGCTCTTCAAAGTACCAAACCCCAAAACTATTAACATATGAGGAGGGTCAGCCAAACCTGCCGGTGTTAACACCAACCTTACGCAATGATCGGCCACCAACGATCCTAACTATAGGCACAACGAGTAGTGGAGAAACTATCGCACTCCCTAGCCCACCCCCGCGTCCGGCAGTAAGTGATCTTTATCTTGGCTTCGAGTATTACCCGTTAAGTACCGGTTTTGTATAGCTACCGCTCTTGCCTGGTGAACTATATGACGTTATCGAAGCGGAGACTAAGTTTGGGATCTCCATTTTTACAGCATATCGCGACATTCGCATGCGCGAGCAAAGGATTTTGTTTTCTGCTCGCTTCCAACAGACCCCTTTCAAAGACCATATAATCTCCTGCCCTATAGTCATCTGCGCTTCACACCTTGCTCAAAACCGTCGAGAATCACTCCAACGCAAGCTCAACGCTGCTCGTGAATTGGTACCAAATTCAATCTGGGAACTGTTTAAAGTGGACCAATCTGCAAGTCTTATTGTCTTTGCATAAGGGGCCTGTCTCTAGCTCTTCTTAAGATATTAAATACTATATATAGCCGCTCCGTCTTTGTCTAGATAGGAAGGTATAAGCTTCCTCTGGAGCATTTGTCTTGTTGCCCATAAACCTTTCCAGCATGAACACCTTCCATTTCGCAATCTGTAAGCGCGTTTGGCCTAAGGTCGACTCTATTCGGGTTTCCTCTCGTTCTTGTGACTACTGCAAACAACACTATGTTTTAACAATTTATTTCGATGGAGGCAACGCTAGTCTTACCGTTAATCACTTCGCATTTTTAGATATGGAGGATAAACGCTGCCAACTAGTATGGCTTGAGAACTATATCCTGGAAACTCAGGAAATGACCACATACAAGGTACACTATTCTTGTCCTAATTTAGAAGGCATCGCATATGAGGTCTTGAACATGGACAAGCCAAATATGCTACATAGCTGTTGTGGCTTCATGTGAGTTCTATAAAATCATTCCAGTGTTATTCTTACTAATTAGTACAGAGGGAAACTAGTTGAAAAGTACATGATGTACGGGTATCTTTTCCTTTCCGATATAGCGTCCTGTAAGTACCATCGTACGATATAATAAATGACCCTAAGCTAATAACTGTTAACAGCATCATGATTGATGTAGCTGGAAAGCAGTCGGTGGACAACGTATTCAGTGATTTTCTTGGAAGGCTTGAGTGGGGTAAAAGACTGTATCTAAATGCTTTATTCAAGTCTACTGTAGATTGCAATATACAATAGCTAAGATCGTTGTCCCTACATATTAACACAGCCAAAATGTTGCAAAGGCGCTTGTTTTTAAATAATATAACAGTAAAAACCAGAAAGAGGCAGCACTGCTTTTAACATTTTTTTAGTTCATCATTTCCTAGAGTGTGTAGCCTTTTTACACCTTTAGTTGTGCCTCTCGGTCATTTTGAACATTTTCTCATTGGACGCTTATACAGCCAATAAGCTTTGGTACATGTTCATATAGAAATACTTCTGTATACAATATACTTAATCTTCTACGAGCAAGAATTAGCCTCCGCTAACTGCTACCTTCAGCCAACTGTCAATCGTGAACAATTTTACGAAGCGTACCACCACCTACAATGGATATTATCAGAGTCCTACCGATGGAACAGAACGTCAATATCTCGCCACCTCAAGTCAATACGGCTATTGTATGGACTCTTTGTTCGGTGATGCTTGAAAACCCCCACAGCTTAGGGTATAGAATTGTCCACATTGAAGCAAATGCGGCTTTTGCTGATCTACACGCTGTGGTATATTTCAAGTTGACCCCTAAGACAATCACTGAGCTGCTCAAAACATATACATATCAACATTCTGGATATAACATGCATAGTTGGTTGAAAGGCTACAGATACTTTATTTCAGTATTAACCGAGTATGGGTGTCTTTTACAGTTTGAAAACTTGGAGGAGTTTTGGGATACAGAGGAACATGGTGAACTGCCGGTCAATATCTGTAACGATATCAAGTCAAGCGTGCTGGGACTACTTTTCTCTCTGGGACTATATAATGACTAGTCAGCCGATCATGCATGGACATGCTTTACGTTATAGTATAAGATAGGAAACTTGAAAGCTAGAGGAGTCTGAAGGCAAAACTATCAGGAAGCAGATCCCCATACACGACGTTATTTCGCCACTATGTTTTTATCGCTGCCTTGGTAGTTTTACATATAATGTTGAGTTGACGATCTCCGAAAGATCCCCTCATACTCTCACCCACTTTTGCGCAGTAGTAGGTGCTTAGTGGCTTGGTGCACTATCTTCGTTGTACTGTTCCCGAATCTGACAGGTAAGTGGTATACGCTCAAAGCCTTGAACCAGTACAACCAAAGGCCTAGTGACATCATAATGGCAGCTGCAGTGCGCTAAAGAAGCGGAATCTTTCGGTCATACCTTTCAGTAGTACGATAGCACTAAGTGGAAGCATTCAAGAGGAGTTACTGGAGTCGGAGGGTCCCATCCCTCTCAGTGTCCATCCAGTGTGGGGGAACATAAAGAAATGAGATAGGGATCATCCTCCTGCAGAAGGCATCCGCTAGTAGTATTCGCTCGCAGAATTACCGCATCATTAGTTTGGAACACACCCTGGATAGTCTGTTGGAATCGGACAAGCTACCGATGCACAAATGACTGCCTAATCTATCGCAGCTGGGGAGCGGCAAGATTTCCTTGTCTTTCTTTCTGTTTTTTCTCCTCTATCCAATGACACCGCATCAGTAAAAGGCCACGTAATCCATGTACCGTGAGAGCTTTTGGTCGGGGAATTCTTCGCCGGGCTGCCTCTAATACGTGCACTGAGCATGCCTCGTATTACTAAAAATTAGGTTGGTTGTTTGACCCAGGATAAATCGTATAAAGAGGGTCAGAGCTTTCCCCCAAGGGCGAGTAGTAAATACTATCAATTCAGAGCACTTCATCATATTCAAGTTCAAATGGCTTCCAGTATCAACCCCACGAGTGTACCCTCTGGCATGCTGCCGTCGGTGATTGACGTGAAAAGGTCATTATTCGATCTTCACTGCGAAACGGACCTATCGGCTTTACAAATTGCAGAATCGCGTGATCAGTATAGATTACACAACACTGCCTACTGCATCAGAGTTAGTGCCCATATCTTCTCTTGGGATTTACCAGAACCTCGTATCCTTCTTATCCAACGCGCTCTTTGCGATACCAAACCTGGGTATTGGGAGGTGCCCGCTGGGAGTGCCGAAGAACAAGACCAAACACCACGAGATGCCTTAGAGCGAGAGGTTTTGGAAGAGACTGGGTTGCGGCTATCCCGAATTACTTATACCCTCCGAACTCAGACCTGGACACGGTTGAAGGAACGCGAACACTATAAATGGGTTGGCCTTCCATATATTATTGAGGTCTCCGGACCCAAAACTTCCGAATCACATGTACATAGCCAACATGCGTCTGAGCCAGGACTGAAATGGGAGGACGTCATACAACTGAATCCTGAGGAGCACCAAAATTTTGTATTGGCAACAGAGGATGAGGTGCGATGCGACAAGTATAAGACGTTTGGAAATCACAAGGAGACTATCCTCGAAGCTTTTGCGACAGTGACAAAGAACTGCTCAGTCTAAGTCCAAGGTCTGTGGATGGGATGTAGGTATGGGGTCTGGAGGATGTGGCTGGAGGATGTGGCTGGAGGATGAGGCTGGAGGATGAGGCTGGGGATACGGTTGAGTGGTTTGAATTTCTCTTCCGAGTGACTTTACAGTGGGATGTCAAAAGTTTGAAACCGTCCGCTTGACCGCCTTGCATACCGCCATAATACAACCCTACCATATTCAGTGCTTTAACCTGCACACGTCTATCTACACATTAAATTATAGCTCCTAGGAGGAAGACAAATACTAGTTATGAATTTATGTGACATATATACTAAGTGTCAAGGCCTAAGTAGGGAATTTGCGAGGGTTCTGCCATGCAAAATAGTATAATTAGGAAGGCGGTTAGGCTAGGCGATAAATGGATGGTTTCAAACTTTTGACATCCCACTGTAAAGTCACTCGGAAGAGAAATTCAAGGTCAGGGTTAACTCCAAACTTTAGTATAGTTTTCAGAAATATATTAGAAGATGGGAACCACTGAGGAAGTAAAAAAAGCCAATACATACTGCCTGGATGATTTTGTACCAATTAGTCTGTACTTCCGTAGGGGTCCTATCTCTGGAACTCGATCAAAAACTAACTCCTGAGCAGAGTTTCATTTCTAGAAACGCGCCATTACCTCTATATTTCTCTTTCTAAACACATCTCATTACATCTTTAAAATCCAGTACCCTTGCATAACACCACCGATATTAGTTAGATAGCAGATAATCAATAGTAAATCACCATATATATAGCGGCCTTGCAGAAAATTTACATATAAACAGCATCATACCCGCAGTCTACTATATTTATATCAGGAAAGCTTGAAAGTAATAAAACAAGTCAACCTCGATTCAGTCCGCTATAACTGTTACAATAACTCACATTACATCATTGACCAGAATAAGATAACACGTATAGCCACTATGGCTGACGGACTTCCACACTCGATAATATCTTAGTGAGTGGAAAGGGGAGCTTTTTCATCTGCTTCATTCATTCTTGGCTATCTCAACTAGCTACTAATTCCTCAGCGTTGTGGGCCCCCGCTTACCGGCCCCGGAAGAACCCATATTCCTGGGCCCTAAGGCCAGACGGAAGCCCTCACCAACACCCCCCCTATTCCGGCTGGAACGTGAGGCCTAAGTGGAGCCCTTTATGACCGATATCCATAAGGTTTAGGAGGTTGATAAAGTGCTTGAATGTGTCACCGACTAGCGGCTTAGTAAAACCGTCTGCAGGGTTGTCCTTTCCTTCAACACGATCAATTGTAATCATGCCCTTCTTATAGAAGTCGCGTGCCTGCAGATGTTGTATGTCAATCCATTTAGATACGCGCGTATGGTTGGCGGATGATATGGCTGTGATAGCCCCATTACTATCAGTGTAGACGGGGATAGCTTCATCTACAGGCAAGCCGATAGACTTTGCAATCTTCTGAAGCCAGAGTCCGTTGCGGGCCGCCGGGGCTACCGCAGTCGTCTCAGTCAGGGGGGTCGATTCGCAGACAACCGATTGCTTTGACGCTTTCCAGAGTATAGGGACGCCGGCGTAGAAAGCCACATATCCCTGCGTGGATTTCCCGTCCGCGTGGTCCTTATGTGCGGCGTCAACATACACTTCCAAGCGCTTATCTGGCTCACAGCCTAGAACGATTCCATAAACGTGGGTGCGTAGATACCGCAGCAATCCTTTCATAGCTGTGTGATCAGCCTGATCAGGATCAGCAGCGCGATGTTGAAGGCGGAAAAGCGCGTACGCAATGTCCGGTCTGGTCCTGGTTGCCAACCAATTCACACGTCCCATAATTTCTGCGTATAGGTTGGGTACCAAATTATCAATATCAGGATCAGCGTCCTCAATCTCTCGCTGAACAGCGTCCTCAGTATCATTCAAACGCTCGGTGCGGTATGCTGGAGACATAGGTGCGTTACGGGGAGCACGGTCTGTCATCTTAGCGCAGCGTAGTGTCTCCTCTGTGTACGCCCTTTGATGGACCGTAATCGTCCTCTTCTCACGATCACGAACCAGGCTATAGCCTAGAAACTTAGCCGGGTCGCCTATAACCTTGAGCTTGAACGATCCTGCAAGTTCCTGGCGTGTAGCAATGACTGCAGCCCTTGTAGGCGCTATAGTAAGGATGTCATCCACGTACAGGAGTACTATCTCATTACCGCTGATATAAACACAGCAGTCCTCATCAATCGGGACAAAGCCCATCTCGCGCAGTTTAATATCGACATCCCTATTCCACAGGTATGCTGCCTGCTTAAGGCCGTATAGCGATTTGTTGAGATGGCATACTGCCTTCATTCCACCCTTGCGAAAACCGGTAGGCTGGATCATGTAAATATGTTTCTTATCGATATCTGCATTCAGATGCGCTGTACAGAAGTCAGATTGTTCCCATTCTAGGTCTCGAAGGGCAACAAATGTAAGCACCATCTTGACAAGCGTGTCTGCTATCACCGGCGCATAAATCTCATTAAAATCAACAAAACGTCGTTGCTTGCTTCCGCAGAAGACCCATCGTGCCTTGAATCGTATGACACGGTCATCACTATCGGTTTTGAGATCATACACCCACTGTCCCCAAAAGATCTTAGTATCTGCGGGTGGAGAGACAATATCATAGGTTTTATTCTCCTCATGACTCTCTACCTCACTTTCCATTGCCTTCTGCCATTTCTCAGCATACGGCGATAACATTGCCTCCTGATATGTTTGCGGTATCTGAATCTGCCATGCGTAGAGCTATTCCTTGTTCCACAGCAGAAGATACCCCCAGTTGGAAGTCATCTTCATATCTTTTCGACGGAACGCCCGCATTCTGACGTTTTGGACGTGCACCTATCATCGAGTCTATTGTGTCAAGTCTAATCATCGGCGGTGCCTCTATCATGCGCTGAGGAGGTGGTTTAGCCGGCGAGGGAGTAATTGTATGGACACGGTCTACAATCGGGCCAGGAGATTCCTCCAGCTCAACCGACTCTCTCACAGGGATATCGGGAATCACAATCGAGGTACCCCCATCCGAGGGGAGAGGACTATTCGGCGACTTAGATGTAGCTGGCTGCGCCGGACCATCATCCTTATCATCACGGTAAGTACGGGTCTCATCGAATATGACATCTCTTGATCGTTTGACCTCACCGTCACCCTCAAAGCCAACAAAATATCCTATTCTGGCGCGTGGTGACGCTTTCTGAGCTTGAACTCTATCCTCTTTCGGGATATGCTGATAAGCCCGGCAACCAAAGACCTTAAGAAATTCGATTGAAGGTTTTGCGTTTGGCAGCTTCAGTCTCTCTTGATAATCTTGAAGAGGCGAGATTTCGTTGCCCTTAATCACTAGACGGTTGACAACCTTAGCGGCATGCTCTACCGCGTACGGCCACATAGTGTCAGGCATGCCCGCATCAATCAACACACTCTTGGCTAGAGAGTTGAGATATCCGCCGGTCCTTTCTGCAAGACCATTTGGTTCTGGCGATCTGGGAGGTGTAATCTCGACATTAATACCCTCCTTCGTCGCCCAAGATGTGAAATTATAGAATTCCCGTCCGCCATCAATACGCCACCTTGCTATGTGACGGCCAGTAAGGTTGCGGAATTGCTTAGCAGATTGAATCACAGCATCTGCCGCATCCGCCTTACGCTTCAACAGACGTACAACTATCGCCCGTGTTGCGTCATTGACCAATACAAGGTAATTGGTATAGCCATTATGACCGATAGGTTTCCATGGCTGTGTATCTGCATGCCACAGATGTGATGGATCAACAGTGCGTTCTTTCGTATCGCGGGAAACTAGCCTCTTGGCTTTCGAGATCTGACAAGCCTCACATTGCTCACGAGCCTTGTCATACTCAATCTGATTGACCTCAGCTGTTCCCTGAACTCGATTTAAACCCGTATGGGCGAATCTGCGGTGCAGAAGCATTGTATCTATCGCGGAAGACGATATTCTTTGTGCAAGGCAAAGCCAAGGCATATCCTGACGAGTTACCGTTTTTCCAATAACCTTATCTCTCAGATAGAGATTCCCCGTGCGAGTATCCCAATCAAGCCCTAGTTAACTCTTGACCTTCATTGCACCAAAAAGACTATACGGTGCTTGTGGATTGTAATAGACTTTGATCCGTAAATCTGTAACCTTATTGTCATATATCAGGGGCAGGGTTGCAAACCCGTAACCCAGAGTCGTGGCCACAGCTAAGCCCGCTGTCTTGTACGAGTATGGAACATCACCTTCGGCATAGGGGACATAGTTCTCGATAATATCAAGATCCGGGGTAATGGCCTTACTCGCACCTATATCGTAAATCCAGTGAGAGCAGTTTGATATCCTTTCTCCCACAGATATCATAGAAAAGTTATCATTGTTAATCGCCGCGGTAGAGGTATCCTTATTCTCCTGCTTCGGTGTTGTATTCGAATGCTTTCTCCAGAGCCTAGGGAAATAAGCCCAGATCAGATCATTCGGTGCGTGCCATGGTCGCTGGGGACGTCGTTCCGGTACCAAATAGGGGCACTCAGTTGCGTGATGCTTGTTATCCGGGTCCTTACAGTATCCGCAGAGCCCGTTGGCATCTGGCATTCCCATGAGCGACTGTACATGTTTCTCTATGTCAGCTCCATATCCTGGTGTGTGTTTCCTTCGCTTGGTTTGTTGTCTGCCATTATCCTGAGGCGCTGGAGGTGAAGACAGGGCAGTAGGGGGAGGCTTCGTCTTAACCGCTGCACTCAAGGCAGAAGATTGATTGATCTCTACCTCACGACCTTTCTCGGAGGCAGTATTGATAAACTTGTGCAGATCTTCGTCTGTAAACGTTGTTGCTGCATCCTTCGCGAGGGTTGATTCGTACATCTCTAACCAGCCTGGGAGATCATCTCTGAGGTGGTGTATTAGCCACTGTAAGGCAAAGTATGGGGATATATCAAGGCCCAAGTTATTGCAGGTTGATATTTTGTCATAAAATTCTTCAACAAAAGCCTTGACTGAGGGGAATTTCTCACGATCCATCTTAAAGGTCTCGATCATTGTTGTCCTTGCCAGAACATGACCATCACCTATTACGATCTTCTTTATCGTTGCAAAGGCATCGTCCGCATACTCTTTTGCATCCGATGATTTCATCACTAGCTTGACCACATCCGGTGATAGCTGTGTCATAAGCCATGCCCGTATTGCACGACTGATTCCTGTCCAACGTATGTACACTGGATCTGTAGGGAGAGGACGAGGGATATCTTTCTCAATTATGCTGGCGAGGCTGGAAGCATGCAATGCATTCTTCACGTAGAACGCCCACACCTCGTTGTTATCACGGCCTTCAAGTGCCTGTTGCACGTTAGGCATACTTGTTGGGAGCTTATCGACTCCTATCATTTGGTTTATATCTCCAGTCAGGTCTTGAGCCTGCGCAGCTGCCTACTCAAGATTGAATAGCGGCATCCTTCCAGTTGCAGACCTTAATCTGTTCGCAATATGTGGATACACGTCGTTCAAAAGTTCTGTCAGTTCGTGATCCTCAAGCGATCTGGGCAATGAGGACGGATCCTCTGAGGAATCCTTTATTATGCTCGAGCGCACAGTATGGTCCGATTCTAGCTCGAGTTCCTGGTCCTCGCCTATCTCGTGGCTAGGCCTAGGAATGGTGCGGTCTTTGGTCTTTTCTCACATTGCTGAGGCCCGCACTATGGTCCCCCGCGGTCCTAAGCGGTCTTTATTGCGGGGGACCATTGTTGCATAACCTTGCCAAGACCTTCTGTTTTCAGCTACATAAATATGATGATTCATCACAGCAGGTTTTTACAATTGTAACAGTATTCAGTGTAAATTTTATTAGTATTCTATTTACAATACTATTGGCTTTCTATTGACTTTCTATTTGGTATTGACTTTCCAACACTTTCCTTCACCTTCCTATTGAGTTTCCATTCGGTTTCTATTCAGTTTATAAAATAACTCTGAATATATAGTAAATATATAATAACAGAGAAGAAGATAATACCGAAGCGATTCTGAAACACTGTCCATATCCACCCAATTTGTGAATACTAAGATACCACACTCGCTAGAGAAAGTAAAGAAAGCTGAATATCGTGATTATAAAAGCAAGTAAAGTAATATATATATACTGTTAGCTATCTCAGCCAGAGAAATATATAACACGATTATCTAGTTTCTTGTTTTTCTCTCCTGAGTATAGAGTAACACTATTCTCTTCTACTCTCTCTACTCTGGCTTCCTTTGTCTATATGTCTACTGTGTTTATTATATCTATTGTATTCTGTATTCCTATTCCTTCCCTTTTGGACTGCCGTTCCTATTCACTGATACTTCCTTCCCTATCTGGCACTGTTAGATGACCAGGGGTCGCCTCGCTTGTCAGCAGTGTTATTCAATATACATATAAATAGTTACTTTATCCCACTCTCGCGCGCGTATAGCTTTTCTGTAGATATCGCAAAAATGACATATCCTGCGGGTTACCTTCAGGCGTTGCACGCAGCCGGACTCACTATCCGGTCGACCAGAGAAGATATAATCCTGCTTGACGAAGAGAGTCTCGAGGCCCTGTTAATCAGCCTCCTCCAGGTGCTGAATACCCTGGAGGGGGCTGGTACAGGTAGTCCTCGTATGATAGCGCTAATCCGGGGGCGGATTAATTGGGTGACAGCTGCGTTGGAAATGTTTGCTCTGCGCCAATAGGTAAGTGACTATTTATTTCTCTTTTCTTTTGCTTGTTCTTGTATATTTCCCTTTTCCTGTGAGGGCCTGGGCACCCCTCTCCCGCATGTATACCCCCATTAATGCTTCTGGTCTTACCAGGAGGTTAGAGGGGGTTCTTGACGGGTAACTAATAGGTTCGATGGGGTTTTGATAGGTTCCCACACAAAATCAGAGGAAGACGGGTTATGAAAACCATCCGACGATTGTCTACTCGACTCGTACTCGAGACCGAAGCTGGGCTTGTATTTCCAGTGGATGTGGTATCGCCTAGAAAAGAGACAGGACACCTCTGAGCTTGAACACTCTCTGGGTTTGCGGGTCGCCCAGCAGCTTGAAAATCATAATTGAAATTGGCGTCCCGCGGCGAGGGAGGATACAATCGGTTGAGCAGTGGATAGTGCGAGTCTGTGGGAGAGATTTCGGGTGTTCGGTTACAAGTCCCCCGTTAAGGCTGGGCCACGGGCAGCGTTGATCGAACATGTCGACCGTCTGTTCTGCCAGGGGCGTGCGATCTAGCGACGAACTTTGACGAATTCGTTAAGGCTTAGCCACGGATGTTCGAGAGGTCTGCGATACTGAGGATACAAGTTTGGTTAGTGAAGGACTGCTACGGTATTCTGCAGGGTATCTGGGAATACCACGGCAGCCTTTGTGAGACACGGTCGGCCGGCGGGGAGAGATCTGCGCTGGTAACGCGAAGCGGGGAAATCTTTCCCTGTGGGGCGTGGCACATAATGGCAGTGACGGACAGGTCATGAGGATCTGACGAGACTGTCTATGTGGCCCGAGAGGACGGACGCGCGTGTCGGTGTGCAAAGAGACGGGAATCAGTTACCTCCTCGCACGGAGGACCTGAGGTCTAACAGCCAAAGTGGTGTCGTCCTAGTGGAGAATGTGAGAACACTCTCTACTACAGTGATTCTCGAAATCGGTCTGACCTTCAAACACTTGTCAATTGTTTGTTGGCCCCACCACCAAGAACTTGGCGTGATTCTTTGATTGAGCGAACCGCCTTAAAATGAGGGCGGTTGTAATATACTTTTCATGGAAAACGTAAAACTTATGCGGTATTTTATTTTTATGTACATTTACTCGAATGCTTGATCGATCCTGGCATGAATACCAGATGTCGAACAACTTGCTCCAAACAACTCGTGCGATGATCCACACTTGCACGCGGCAGATTGACAGAAGTAAGAACTATATCCATCCTGGTGTACTTGGCAGTGGTGGCTAAACATGGTATCTTGTGGAGATAGGGGCAGCTCTCCTCTTTTGTCCAATCAGAATGAATGGTGCCAAGTACTCCGTATAATTATTCTATATGCATGCATAAAGCCGACTATCATGCAGAGCGACGGATCTCGATGGAACATCATGGAACCCCGTGATCATGTGACCCAGAAGCCTGGGAACGCCTGTTCCTTGTTCCTAAGCGACCCTTACTTCCCCGTCACTCGTGTCCTAACACGGAGCCCTACTGATACGATCAACATGCCATCTCCTCGGCTTCTGGGCATCCACCGTGCCATCTTGCGGGTTTTGAAGCTCAGTGGTGCGGGCGAATATATAGAACAGATTCTCCGAGACTTGGAACAGGTCACAGTGGAGGCAGATGGGTCAACCAATCTGGGGGATATAATGAGGTTACGATTTGATGGCTGGGTAAACCAATTGACTGTATTTTAATTCAACGAGGTCCTTTGTTCTTGATTGGTTCGACTTCTGCTTCCCATCTGACTTATCTTGCGCAATATCTTCTTGAGCGATCATTTTCTGCTTATAAAAAGAAAGATCGTTTAAAACTAAATGACCCAGATTGAGATTTCAACAACTGTTCTAGCGCTGTTGTGGTCGTAGGTATCCAAGGTCTACGATGAAGCTGCTTCTCAACGAATCTCTCTCCACGTCGAAGGGTTCAATGTCACTCTCGAGCATCCTGATGCTGCCGATCGTAGAGTTCTTCCCGAGTGCGATCATTATTTGATCCATCGTCACGAAAGGTGGGTCACAGACACACGGCTCCGAGTAGCCAAGGGCGAAGGCGCTCTTGCGCATCGGAATAGCGTCACAAATGGCTGAAGACACACACGGGACTCCGGGTGACCCTCGAAACATCTTCTCGAGGCTGTTCTTAATCCTCCTCTCGCACGTGCGACAGTTCGTGACAGCTATAAAGCATTTTTCCGGCTCTAGAATGCCGTTCACGGGAAAGTTGTCCGGTATGTTGGGGATTGACAGGAGTTCCTTGACCTCGATCATTTCCATGCAGCCAATGCACGTGATGATCATGTTGAGGCTGGAGGGCTTGTTCGTCATTATAAGAGTTCGATGCAGCGGCTTCGGATCTAACGCATGTGCTTTTTGAATTTTTTTCCCTAAATCGCGTATTAGCACTGTGGGTGCCCGGAGATGGAGTGTCTTTAAAAGCACTCTTCCAGAATCCTGGTATCCCAATTGATAAATATAATATGGCATGGAATACGGTACGTACCACTCCGAAGTTATAGTACCGGGTGACTTGTTCAAAATCAACCTCAGCTAGAAACCGAAGCCGAAAATAAATATATAGTCCACAATCCGCCTATCCCGAGGATAAGCAGAAGAGCAATCAGAAGAGCACTTGGAATGAATTAAATGCAAGTTGAATGTTACTATCTGTCTCAAGATTCAGCCTGATTCTCTCTGGACATTGCTTATCCCTTCCTTCATTACCAAGGCAACCATACTACCAATGTTGGGTGAGATGCTGATGATGAATGGTGATTCGTCGTTCTTTATTATTTATCTAATAGAGGCCGCCTCCGGTTAACATGTTAGGGCGTGTCGGTTGAAAGCCATCAAATATTTCACTCAGGCCGCGGCGCTGATACCGTATAGTCGGAAAAAATTGGGGATTCCTGGTAATTGCTTTTACAAGCTCATCTCTCTTCATATCATCGAAAGCGCCCGAGTGACTATAAATTTCATAAGCTATATCCTGGAGTGCGTTGCCTGATCTTCGCCCAGGGAAAAACCCGCTTGGGATCATTGCTGGTACCCGATAGAGAGGGCATTCGAAGACGATCTCATGTTCAGGTCCTCCACCCTCAAAGACAGCAAGGATACGATATTCATCAGCCGCAATGCCGCCTTCAATAAGATATTCGTCGCGGTGGTGCCACAGCTTTCTTCGACGATCCAGCCCTGCATCAGAATATCCAAGTTTGGATGCAGCCTCCTCTGCACTATACACGCCTGCCAAACCCTTTGTCCACACAGCAATCACCACAATATCCCTTTCCCCCTTACTTTCCAGATTTTTTCGCCGCTGCATGGCTCGCTTCCAAGTGCCGAATGATAGAAATCGCGTCCGTTTTCGTTCCCAAGATAGCTGAGTATCGAATTCTTGCCATGATGGTGGGCCTTCGTAGATCGTTCTCCGCGCACAGAGGTAGCCTTCACTGAAGTTAGTGTTACTACCAGATTCCGCGCGAAATAGGACAGAAGGTTTTGCGTTATTTGACAAAGGACGCAGGAACATCTCGATCTATGATTTTGGATACGGTGGACATAAAGGTTCGGAACAGGTCGGAAATGGTGCGCCGTTGATTCTGGTGGTTTCCCCGCTAGGGAGTCGACGGGAATGTTGGAATTTTGCTGCCGAATCGCGTACCACGTGACATCATGCACAGTCACAAAGACTCATAAATTTGCATAAAATACATTACATTACGGTACAAGGCGGACAGAACATTGCTCAATATTTTGTCCAGGCCAAGCTCTTGGCAGTGGGGCCAACAAACAATGGAGAAGTATTTGAGAGTCAGTCCAATTTCGAGCATCACTGTATCTCACTCGTACGAGCGTCAATACGGTTTACAATCGCCACTGGCCGACTCGACGTCACTTAATCATATCGTTGAACACAAATCACCCACCCTTCCCAAACTAACTCACACCAACCACCTCGTGCCAGACATGGTAGACGCGCTTCAACTGCCAAAGATAGGATGTTGAACACTTGGAGAAGCGCCTTCAAGCCAGCCTACTAACAAAACTACTAACCCACGAGAATCTCTTACAATACTGATAGACGGCACGACATATGCTAAAAGTGAAATTGTACGGGCTAGAAGGAGACATGGCACGCGATAGGATATGTACTAGTAGATTAGTGATAGTTGCCCTTTCGGCTCAGCCGCCGGGCGTTAATAAATTGTTTGTTTGTTTGTATCTCACTCGCACTGAGAACCTGAGGCTGGGGGAACCGAAGTGATGTTGTTCTAGCTGAGAGCCGGTGATGCATGCTTAAGGAGCAAACCTGGAGACACCTGGGGTGAGAGGTTTTGGCGGGGCCTCGATATCTGGAGGTCGCTCATCGAAAGTTGAGCGACTGAAAACCAGGGCAGTGGCCTGAGCAAGCGGGCCTGTTGAAGCTGCTTTACACCAGTTGTAAGGACTCGTTAAGGCGTAGCCACGGGCAGCCTTTGCCGGGTAGTTATGTCTCTTGGCCCTCAACATCGCACGAGCCCATGTAGGCACCAGCAAAGGCCTGCCAGAGAATGTTGGGAAACACGCCAAAAGAGTGGATGCAGCACTCCCAGGTAAACACACCCGACAGCTGTATGATCGATTATCATGGAACGAAGCGAGCGTGCTGGCTCAACTCCGGACTGGCATGGCAAGATTAAATGGGTATCTCTACCGAATCAACGCAGCGCAGACAGATCAGTGTGCATGTGGGCAGGCAAGAGAGACTGTAGAGCACTTCCTCTTTCGATGTCGAAAGTGGACAGCACACCGAGCAGAAATGCTACAATGCACCCACACTCACAGAGGCAACATATCCTTCTTCCTAGGAGGAAAGTCACCATCAGATGATCAAATCTGGGCTCCAAACCTCGAGGCGATACGGGCCTCCATACGGTTTGCAATCGCCACGGGCCGACTCAACGCCACATAACCGTGTAGATAATCACCAATCTCCCAATCCTCCTGACCGAACTCACACCAACCACCTCGTGCCAGAGACGGTAGACGCGCTTCAGCTGCCGAAGATAGGATGTTGAACACTTGGAGAAGCGCCTTCAAGCCAGTCTACTAACAGAATTACTAACCCACGAGAATAAACCCTCCCCCCTACGATACAGACAAATGAGACGGACATATACTAAAAGTAATTATGTATGGGCTCTAAGAAGACACGGGATATATTAGGATATGTATTAGTAGATTAGCGATAGTTGCCCTTTCGGCTTAGCCGCCGGGCGTTAATAAATTGTGTGTGTGTGTAGCTTTCTCAAGTCTCTGTACAATGGTGTACGGCAGAACAGCAGTGTAATGGGGGTCGTTCTGACGCCTACTAACTGTGCTAATGGATAATAGTATAAAGCCTACAATACTGTATAACACCGTATACAAAGCATTGGGCAATGTAAAGGTGGTAGGTCTAATAGAACGTAAGCCAACACCAGAATTATAGATACGAGCTCTGTACCAGATTAGGTAAACCAGTTGGTTCACTTCCTGCAAGAGGTCGATACTGGATTCTTAATTCCATAGTTGCTTCTTCTCCATGCGCATTGGACTGGAATGCTTATTTGTATGAAATGCTTGCATACCATATATATCAACTACAATCGATCTGTTAGCGCATAAATTTGTAGGTAATCAAACCGGATGTTAAGCAGTTTTCCTCTTATTTAAAACCGTCTTGTTGATGGTTTTACCCCGTTTCAATTAATTGGATATTTATCATATGACTTATCTTTTCCTGATTGCTATAATCACAATCTACAGTACTCACAACAATGTCCCTATCCGTTACGCCTCAATACTCAGCTGTCGCAAACGATACACTCGATTATCTTCCCACAATTGTTGCGCATGAGGGCTATTATGAAGTAGCCCAGCTCTTGATGGTTGCCCTATCAGCGTCCGATGTCAGCTCATTGCTCGTAGCTCTTCACATTCAGCCCTCGACTTCACTTTGCCAGCGTTATCGTCGATTTCTTCATCCAATAAGGGACATAGATCCCACGATGCGGATCTTTGATACTTGGATACGAGAAAAATGCCAGATCCTCCTCCTGGGTCATGATTGCAGATTATTGATGCAACGCATCATGGACCCAGAAGCATACTACGCAGAAGGTAGTTGCACCCGTGATCCGTTGGAGATATGGGTCGTAGCATTACCGCCCAATTCTCAAAGGATTGCTAAGCGAGCCTCAAGATTGCTTCGCGTTTTTCACAGGACTAGCAACCGCGCAAGACGCACAAGAGCCTTTTCCAAGTTTCGTGATATCATCGACCAAGGACTTATTCTCAAACAGTATCTCGATGGCCAAGATTTAAAACTGTGCGAGGACCGACCCATTGTATACGAAAATATACATGGACAAAGTGTCCATGTTAAAGCATTCGATCTGTTGCTGTCGACTACAATGAATTACGATCAAGAAAATTTTGTTGTTGGACTCCACTACGCAGGCTTAGAGTTTCGCTTGGCGTGGGATATAAGGGCCTCTAAATCAGCCAGACATTGGAAGGCAGCCGACGGCCTTCCATATATAGATACTGCCAACCCATATCATCTTGGGAGGGGAGCGACTATTGATTTGAATGAACGTGAACGCCCAAATGCAGGAACACTTGCCTTCTTCCCTTACTCACCCCGTTGTTGTCGGGAATCTATCCTGTCTATTCCCATCAAGCAGGTTCCGTGAAAACCACAGGTAATAAGATAGTGCGAGGGTAGAATGAATGGGCTGTGCTAGCGAATGATCTAATTTATACTAGGACCAAAGGACTTAGACAAATCTTCGGAATTGTGTGAGAAGGGAATCAAGCAGATAATGGTGTATTAGCAATATTATTTTCTTAAAATATGTGGGAAACGCTGTTAGAGCATTTATCATGTTTATCTATTGAAACTTGAAAATATCAATACTCTAAATGAATATGTTAACTTAGGCATCTTTGCATTACAGCACTCAATTACTTTATCATCTGTCGGACTGCGGATCAACGTCAATGAATTTTGAACGAGATATTGATCTGAAGAGGACAACAACATACCTACCATTGTCAAAAAGCACACTACTGTAACCGAAGACTACGTAATAGTACAAGTAATAATGAATATATAATGCGCGAATATTGTGGGAGTATTGACCCAGTATGCACTCAGATACAACAATCTTTTATACGTATCAGCAACATTAAGAGGTATATAATCGTGCTTCTGAGCACTAACAGCAGCAGCAGTAGCAGCAGCAAGCACCTATAGCCAATATCACGAAGCGCAGTTGCTATCCACGTTCCAGTCAGTGTATATTGTTCAAGAGAAGCCCGAACGACAATGGGCTGTAGAAGGCTTTGGATAGCCCTAAGTATGGAAGTGTAAGTCCATAGCATTACTGATACACTGCTGAAAGGGCTGACGTTCCCTAGAGAAAGACTGTATTCCGGTCAAGATTCGGCAGCATTACGGTTTACAGGGCGGATGTCTTAATGAAGCATATATTCATAGCATTACTCAACTTCCAGATCAGTGACGTGGAAGGTGAGGTAAGAATGTCAATAACTTGCCAGGACCTGTTGCGCTCTCGACCGGATCGCCCCGACACCCAAAGGATAAAGTTCGATGAATACGAGATATCCAGGCGCGAATTATACCCGGCCCCATTATTCCAGCCCTATCCATAATAGCCCAACTCTCCAGCTGTCAAACAGCGTGGCAGACGCAATCCCATCTCAATAGACGAGCCCTGAAGATGTACCTTCGATCTGCCAGTTTCCTCCTGTACGGTATCCGACGTAGAAAGAAAGCTCATGGCAATACTTGTGGGACCATCAACAATGCTGGGGGCCCTTATGAAATAACCTATGTACACATATATGATATGTTCTTACTCTAGACGACATCTATAACATAGACTCTATCACTGTAAAGTCTTGCAGGTCTGACTTGTACACTTGTAGTGTTTCCCACTATTGGCTCTATAGTTCCATATGAAACTAACTGTGAACTATATACAAATTGGTATCTTCTGTTTTACAAGTCTGAAGTTGCTGGACAGTATCCCGCGTACTGGCTAAAGTCCGCCGGGCCACCGCTGCAGGAACTGGTAGCTTAACAGGAGAGATTAAAAGTAGAAATTGATAATATTAAGGTTGGCAGACATGGTTCCAATGACTGTTAAAAAGAAACTGTAAGGATCCAGTGGGATAGTAAGAGTTTGACATTCAAGGTAGTTACAAAGAGCCTGTGTAAATCAATATATGGGGAGGTATAAAGATTGTACAGGGGCCAGAATCAGAAATACACTGTATCGCTTCGTTGTGCAAAAGCATTGGTGGTGAAAGGTTATCCACATTGTATATGTGTACCTAGTAATGAACAGTGAAAACAATGTATAAAATGATAAATCCGGTTTATTATCACATGCAAGACCTCCAAGGAATTCTGACCGTGTATTAATGATCGGAGACCAGATCGAAGGCGTGACTAAATTTGTCCGAGTCTAGTGGTTCTGCTAGGATTTCCTCCTCTGTCCACTGCTCAATTGCGTATTTGGCCTCTGGAAGGTGATTATAGAGAAAGATCTCAAAGAACTTTTCGGGGATAGACTTCAGTAACTGCGGTCGACACTGTTGAAATATCACCTCTATAGCTTTGAAGTAAGGTTTTTTGAGACACCGGTATTCAGTCGTAGATGGTGCATCTTCACCCGGAAAATAGGCGATACCTTGAGGTAGGAAGCAGAGCACATTTGGCGAGCCAGTAATGCGTACTAGTTGCCTCCAAGGCCATGCACGTCTGCACCAGTCTCTTACTTTCTCCTCGACCTCGCCGTAGTCACGAGCAACTTCTGGAAGGTGGTTATAGATGTCGGTAGCCAGTTTGGTAATTGGATCACTAGAGCTCCCTTGCTGTTGGCGGTAGTTATGTACATACCAGTAAGTCAATATAAGGCCAATGCGGGAGGTGTGCTCATTGTTTTTGTGCCAGATACCCGCTGCGAAAACTCCAGCAGCACTGCGCTGAAAGCGACGAGTGGTGTTACATTGTTCCCGGCGTAGATGTTCCAGCTGGCGCTTCACTTCCACTAAAACAGGTGGAGAGGCAATGGTAAATGCTAGCTGTAATAACCGATCGGCCTGTTTGCGGCCAATAGGTGTACCAGAATCCATGGACATCTGGGCTACTCGGTCCCATAAGTCAGTTAAATTGACAGGGTCACCACTTCGAATCATGACGGTAGACCACCTGTAATGTGCTTTCTCCAATGAGTTGGTCTGCTGCCCTCTGGGTGGTACTGGTGACGATAATGATGACTTTGGAGACAACCCCGGCGGTGGCTGCGGGGGCGGCGGTGACGGTGTGTCAGTCGCTGCCTGGAGCGCCTCTGTCAAAATATCTTGGGCGAGGTGTACCCGAAAAGTCTCTGGTGGTCCATTTTGCAGGCCTTTGTTATTAGCACGCTGCGTCATTGTCCAGATAAGGGCTGTGCCGTCGTCCCCTGGTACAGAGCTAATTATCTTGCTGTCTAACTGCCATTCTGGGCATGGCTGGCCAATATCTTGAAGACAATTGGACAGTGTTTGAATAGCCGCTTGGCAGGTAGGGCAGGCAGGATGATGAGGATAGTAACTACTGTCCTGTACTTCTGGCCTGATTTCAGGGAAAGAATAGTGAATCACTGTCCCGGAGTATGGCTGTATTTCAATCAATGACCAGTGATTATACAGACAGTTAGGCAACAGTAGAGTCTGCGGCATTGGTGTTAAACGAAGTATACCACGATGTAGACAGTTAAACCAAGTAGCATCAGCAATATGTAGCTCCGATGGGTGATGATTGTAGGAAAGACGGTCACCAAGTAGATCCACTGTAAAGATTGACAGTGATGGAGAGTCCTGCAACTCATATAGCAACTGCTCCACATTGGCACGCGTTAACAAAGTACCGTAAAGCATAATATAGTGTCTATCTGGCCATTGTTGTACAATGGTGTCTTGTAAGCTTATACAGTCGTTTGGATTGTTGGCTCTGTCCTCAGTCATAGCTATGTTGATGGTCGGTGTCTCTGTTCCTGGGATAGGGTGGGTCGCTGGAAGTATGTCAATAACAGCCTGAGCAACATTCTCAGGCATGCGCCAATTATTTACTATCATATCAACATCATCTATAGGCAATGCAGAGTGAGTTGAGAGTGTCCGGTTCCTATCCGTCTCAAGGTCCGAGGCCATTGGGACGGTTGGCAACAAGGGCCATTGGGGAAGAATATGGTCATGATAATCCGGCAGTCTCTCTAGCAGGTCCCTAGAGCTGGCGGTGCTAGATATACTTGGACTAGTCAAGGTTTCGATATCAGTCATAGTTGGCGTCATATCGCGGAGAATTGTCTGTGGCAGGAGGTCTGGTTCCTGATCACCGGTGCTGGTGCCAAACTCTTGGAGCATGCGGTCAAACTCTGCTCCAGCAATGCCAGGCCGGTCGGTTCGATAGATTTCTGGAGACGGCTCGCCTGGTGTAGTGTTGGCTGTAGATGAATACACACTCTCTTCCTCGCTTGCTCCCTCCTCCTCAGTTGGATAAATCTCTGGAAAGAGCTGGTTATCTTGTCCAGTTGCTCCGTTCTGCTCAGTTAACCTGGTATCCGAGGACAGGCCACTTTGTGTGTTGTTGTCTGCAGATATAACCAGACTGCCTTCTGTTGCTCCATTCTCTTCAGTTATTCGTGTATCTGAGGATAGATTGCTTTGTGTGTTGTTGTCTGTAGATATATTCAGATTCTCTTCTGTTGCCGTGTTCTCTGCA